GACCAAGTAACTTCCAATCTCAAGCTTGGGGAAAAGTGTAGAATTTAAACCTTATGTATGGCTCTATTTCTGTGTTTCGCAGTAAGAAGTTCTTCCCTATATGTATGAATTCTATCTTGTTTGCAAAAAAGGAACCTATCTAGCAGTGTCGTATCTGTGAGTTTCTGCTGTAAGCAAGTTCCTGAATATAAGGTTAAATATCTGGAGAATCAAGATTTGTTGCTGTGCCTGACATAGTTACATGTTACAGGTTAGATAGCTGCATGCATACAGTATCTTCTACATAGATCTCAGTCCATTGTTGCAATGAATTCATAGCTCAGTGCTGAATTTAAGAACTATTAATTTGGTTGAGGGAATTAAATCAAGACAAATCTGTCAAGTATTCTGTAAATGGAACCTAAGGTTATATGCAGTGTCTGTTATACTGAGCGTGAGACCTGTGATGAATTTCTGTACAATTTAAATACTGTCTATACTACTTTTGATAGAATATGTGATTTTAAGATTGGCTGCTCTCATTTCTGATACTCAAGGTTAAAAAAAAAAGACAAGAGATGAGGTACCAGCAGTATACGACAATCTGTTAGCTCAGGGGTGTCAAACTGCCGGCCCACGGGCTGGATGCATCATAGCAAAACTGCGCCCACCGCATTGCCGGCAATGGCAAAAAAGTTGTGATACGTCGCGACATGTCACGTGACATTGCAAGTTTGACACCCCTGTGTTAGCTGTTCCACAGATTAAAAAGTTCTTAAAATGTTCAAAGCCACTGTAGACAGATAGGTAAAAAGATTTTATGCCAGAGTTGTAAACAGTAGGGTATGTTGATGTTATTGTATTGGGAACCATCCTAATGGTCAGATGTGATATTAAGAACATATCAAGCCATTATCATGGTAAAGAAATATGGTAATGGGGCATTGCAGAGTCTGAGACTGGAATGTGTTCTTTTAAAAGTTCTTATGGGCTTTAAGGGACCAGTCATATGAGTGCTGCTCTGTATGACTGGTGTATGGTGATACTAACCTTTTATATTGGAATTATTGCAGAGTAAGTTGTATTTCCCTAGCTCCCCCCCCCGTTTTAAAATAAATACAAGGCATGTCTGTATCTACCTTAATACAAGGATATGCTATTTGTATCTATGAAGAAATATGGGAAAATATTGTACAAATTGGAAAACTGATCTCAGAGATTCCTTAGGTTAATCAGTGTTAATCAGACTGATGAGCTAGCAATCTTTATTCATTCTTTGTTTTCATTTGGAAGTTGGTGTATTAGAAATGTGGACAGATCCTGTGAAAATATATCCTCAACTTTATGCTGTTGAGAGAATATAGAATATTAACCATGAATAGCAAAATGTCTGTGTTTTGACTTATTTTGAGGGCAGTTTTGTTAGAATGATTTATGTAACATATGTGCTTTTTTTAAAATAAATAATATATTTCCACAAACCACAAGCTATTAAACTGAAACTTCCAGTATTTATTTTCAAATGTAATATAAATAAAACCTGGTTCTTCCATTCTGCAGAAGGATAGAATATAGTAAACACAGACTATATAGTTTCCCAAAAGCTGGTAGAATACAACCTATGTGAAAGTATTTCTTGCTTATTTTCCTTTCCAAAGATATGCTAATGTAGGTTAACGAATGAGAAGGTAATCTTATAATATGACCTTCATTCAAAAAAGCATATATTTGCAACAGTGTTGCAAAAAATGCAATAATTTATAATATTTTACTGCTGTTGCCCAAGCACAAGAAAATGGATACTTCCGAGCCATGTTAGTTTGGATGTATTCTTTATAGGCAGATCACTTTCGCTCAACAGATTTATCTTTCTTAACTTTTAAAAATTAACTATTTACTGTTTAATCAGACTCAGAAATAATTTCTAGTTTAGGTTAGTGATCCGTAGAAAAGCACTGATTTTTTTTTAAAGGATTCTTTTGAAAACAACACCAGTTTTAACATTGCTTTTAGAAGCATTTTAGTTTTCAACAGGTCTGAAACAGAGAAAGAAAAACTCAGTCAGAGTGCAACTAGGCATAAATATTAAGTGATGCCTCTGAATACAGAAATGTAAACACAAGGGATGCACAAATTTTTTTGATAAACTGAGGTGGAATCCAACATTTCTTGCATGAGTGGCTGTATAATGTGGCTGTGGCTGTGAGAAAAGAAGAGCCTGGCATCTAAGACCCAACACAATGGGAATGCAATGAATCGGAATGCCTCACAGATCATAGCTATGAATCAGAATTTCCAGCAAGGAAAATCTTTTCATGGTGAATTAAGTGGTGGAGGAAGAAAAATGGTGATTGAAAAAAAGGTAGGCACAGATCTAGAAACATGGGGCTCAGGGCTCACTGCTGAAGATTTAAGAACTTCAGCTAAAGCTATGCAGAATAGAATGTGGAAAATTGAATTTACTAAACAATTAAGCATTGAATTAATCTACATCCCGCACAGTAGAGAAGTGGGGGAGTAAACCAAATGGCACCGAATAAATCAGTGGAGCTCATTAAAAGATAGTGAATATTTCAGGTCTGTTGTCACAAAAAAGGAGGACAGGCTATCCACAGCTTATAGCAGGGCATATCATTCTTTATTTCCGAGCCACCCTTTTCCTTGAAGTGTCATACTTCTAATCATATTAATGAACGCTTCTGCCAAGGTTATGGTGGGTGGTTCAATATTTTACCTTGTTATCTGTGGCTTTTCTATTAATTACAAGTCAGATCACTAGTCAACTATAGTAGTCAGGAGCAACATAAATAGCATGAGTGCACCCTGGAGATGTAACTCTGAGGATCTGATGCATCCTGGAGCTCCCATGGGTTCTTGCAACCTCCCACATGCTTTGCTAGCCTTTTCTTCAATTACAGTTAATGCAATAGTTTGCCATTTTCTCTTTCTAATTATATTTTCAAGTGGGATTTGTAGCACATAGAAAAACATCCTCCTTTTACATGTTGAGGCACCGGGGCTTTGTGCCTGGCATTGTCTGTCCCCTGGGTGCTGTACCATTCTTTCTGCAGAGCTCTGAATAAACAAGTCCCCCTTTTAAAGCTGCAGTTGTACAAACTGGAAATTTATGCATTAACTGTTTGCATTCTGAGCATGTGTCTCAGATTTCCTCTCACAGCATTCTTATGCTGGTGTGTGCTGCAAACAATTTTGTTTGTCGGAGGGGGGATTCCTTTTCGGAATTTGCACATCAGTGTTTCAATTACTGGATCAATGAACAAATTTGGCTTTCACAGTTTGGGTGACATAAGAATTAAATACAATGTGGGTTTTTTTCCAGGCCTTGGCTTTAATTGCAAGGATGCAATTTATCCATAACACATATGTCTCTCTCTCTCTGTGTATGTCTACCAAGTTTTTAAAGAATGGAAAAGAGGATTTTTAATTGGTTAGAAAGAAATTTTATAGTGCTTTTGACATATACAATAAAGCTGTATTTTATTGACTGAATTACAAGTTTGTGAATATCTTCTTAAAGATGCTTGCTTTGGGGACAAATTAGACATGATGGGAGGCACTCACTTTTGGCTTTGCATTCATTGACATATATAATGGAGTGCAAATGTTATGTTTATGTTAATAAGATACATAAGTGAAGGTAGATGAAGCTCTATTTAATTTCTTCATTACCCTTCCCTCCAAACACTTTTCCTCTCTGTTAACCCATATTCACTATCAGACTAAATCACTGACAAACCTCAATAAGCAAAGAATGCAGGACAATGGTTTCACTCTAATCTGAGTTCTTCCATTGTGTAAAAGCAGATTTTGATTATCTATTTGGTGCATGGAATTAGGAAAAAGGAACAGCCTTGTCATATGTGCTTCTACCATTTAAATTCTGTTTAATTTGATGGTCTAAAGCAGTGGTTCTCAACCTGTGGGTCAGGACCCCATTTGGGGTCGAACGGCCATTTCATGGGGGTCACCAAACAACGCAGTCCGCCATTTTTTTCCCCTTTTCCTTAGCTGTGCTACTCCCTTTTATTCTATTGGCTTTTGAATAGAGTCTAATTCTGTTGGCTTTCAAAAGCCAATAGGAATTGTCCAGGTTGTCTCTGCCCTGCTGAGCCCGCCAAAAGTCCCATTCTGCAAACGGTGCTACACCAGTTGAGTAGTCCTCGACTTACGACTGGTTGAATAGTCCTCGACTTACGACCGGTTGGGGGTCGCGGCATTAAAAAAATGAGAACCACTGGTCTAAAGTATATATTATAATTATTTTAACATAATGTCATTAAAATAGTTCTGGTTGTGATAGAAATATAGTGGTTGACTTGTTTATTTATTTTCCCCATCTCCTAATGATCTGTAGACAATATCACAATATTGCTTACTTATGAATACTGATGTCCAGTGAGTTACTGGTATTTTTAACAGCTTAGTACTAAAAGCTAACTAAAATAAATTCTAAAGATAAAGGAAGATTGGAGGATTGTTGCCATGATTATTTTCCTTAAGAATTTATTCTACAGCTATTTTTTTTCCTATCTGAATGTCATTTTTAATGTGCTCAATGACAATAACGAACATCTGTTTTCTGTTCAGTACTACAAAAATGTTCTACATGGAACTGAATATATATGCAATCCATATGAAGACATTGTTGCTCTGATTTACTTTTTATTCTAAAACTTGGCCTTATTACCCATACACCATGCAGCAGACATCTGACACATAATGTTAAGTATGCTAAACCTGATTCCAAATTATATTTTTACATTTTCCTGTGTTTACTATTATGTTCAAATTTCTCCTTCCTCTAAGATAATTTCTCTTTAAAATAGGCAACACTATAAAATACAGTATAATATTTTTAGGTTGTACTTTAACATATGTTAATATGCTTTTAATTTTTATTTTGGTCATCTTCAGAAACTTATCCAGGTTGTATATTGTTTTTTTCTGTGCTGTGGAAGATTATCACTTGTTCTTTAATAACCTGTTTAATTTCCATCTAGCAGCCTTCTTGGAATAGAGACCATGATGACACAGCATCAACACGGTCAGGAGGAACGCCAGGGCCGTCAAGTGGGGGGCACACATCACACAGTGGGGACAACAGCAGTGAACAAGGTAGGAACTTTATTCTGAATCTTGGTGTTTTGAGGGTTCCAGCCTCTAGCACAATAGCTTCACTGTTTTAGAAATAATTTTTGTAATGGAATTTGAATCTGATATGGAAACATATAATAAGTGTTGCTTGAATTCATAGGGATAAATGCCTGTCCTTGATAGTCTGTTGAACCTGACCTTCACCACCAGTGTTGTTTCGAGATGGGGGTTTTATTGTGCAAATATTTTTTAAGGGAAGGGGCCACCAGCCTTGCTCTATCTCTATTAAGGAGATAAAGATGAAATATGTAGCTCTGAATGTCTTTTGATTGGTAGTGCAAGAATCTCTGTATCTGGTTCCTGGATATCTCTGGAACACAGGTTTTCTTTTCAGTTATATGGATAGTAAATTACAAGAGGGCCATGTACAAGATGCAGATAATGTACAAGTATATTACATTCCCAGCATTGTTTTCTTTTAAATTGTAAAACATAGTCCATCACAATGGTATAATAATTCAGACTTGCAAAATGGAATCTGCTTTCCTTTTCTATTTAGGCTCATCCTTCTACACCTACCTTTTGCTTTCTCCTATGTCTCTCCACCTCAATCAATGTTTTACTTTGATTAGGGAGGAAAAATTTCAAGCTGTATTTTCCCTATGGTTGTTCCCTTCAGATCTCAGTTCAGACTGGAAAGGAATCTACCATTTTTGTATCTATATCTTTGTAATTGACAGAAAGGATCCAGTAGAGAGAAAAGAAAGAGTGGAATTTTTTAATCTAAAAAATCTAAATGGAGAAATCTTAAAATTACATGGTTCTTGGTTCTACCCATGTTCTGCCCATTTTACAAAAATGCCAATTACTTTGTTCCAAAGCCAAACTAATGGTTTATTGAAGGAGAAAGAGATGGTTTTTTGCTTGTTATAAGTATTTGATGTAGTATGTCCTATGCGTAGTTAGTTATTTAAAAAAAAAAAACACTGCTCAAACCAAAAAGTACATTTTTTTATTTATGCAAAGTCCAACTGCAATTGATTTCATGATAATTATGTGCTTGAGTTTAAAAAGAACCTTCTTCTGTTACTGAAAAAGGTACGAAATTTTAAAATATAGTTTTATGTTCTTGTTTCATTCATTGTTGGACTACCAAAGATTTAGCTGTTTAAAAAAATTGGAAAGATTTACTGCAATAGCAAAGTTTAATGTTCAATAAAAATAGTTTTTAAACTGAGATAATGTTCTATTTTTTATCCAAATTGCAAGACTATATCTTTTCAGGCCATATATCTTTATATGAAATTTTAAGTATTCGTTTTTTTATTTGTTTTTTTAAAAAAGTTGCTGACTTAATCACAACTGAAGCCTATTAATTACTGGGCCCCAGAATGGGCAAATTGTTGAAGAGTTGACTGCAGAAACGGGTAACCCCCTGATCTCTGACTTTACTGGAAAATGATATGCAACATAAATTTAAGGGGCCTTTTTTTCTTTCAAGTATTTCTTCATATATGTATTGTTGCAAAATTGGCACATTTTCCATGTTGATCCCAATTGTAACATTAAATTTCTTGTTGCATAATTTATCTTTAGGAAGTGAACTCTTCTTTAAGGGTACAGTATAAAGTCTCCATGCTCACCTTTGATGCTAAAAAATGCTTAAATGATTTAATGTATGAATAATACTGCTTTTAGCAAGGCCTTTCAAACTAAAATACAAAAAAAACCCCATGTGTAACTCTTTCTGCACATTTGCACACTTGTATGACACCCACTTGCTTGAATTGGTTTCATGCAGATGCCCTAATGCATACTGCAGCTCCAGCAACTTTTTTTTTATTATTTTAGTTTTTCTTATTAGTGCTTCCCTTCCTACCATCCTATTCAACTGAATAGGCATGCCATTAACAGTTGAAGTTTCTTGAATCTAATTTGATAAAGAAGATAAATATGGATCATTGGAGTATCAGTAAAAAGAACCCTTAGAATTAAACTGAATTGATTTTCTTTTAAATATCTTTTAAAAATACTGATTGCATTTGTGCAGGTAAATGTGTTTCATTTGTGAAACTTTCTTCCTTGAATAACTTTCCTGACTGCAGCCTTATTCTATTTATCACTATTAGCAGTCAATATAATAGGTGTGTATGCTCCAGTGTCTTTCATGGGGAAAAGAGGAAAAGAACTTTTGTGGTTCCTATCAATGGAAGCTTTGGATTTTTATATTCATTCATTAATTCACTTACTTACTCTAAATGCTTTCCCCTGCCCCTTTATTATTTTTGCATTTATATTCTGCCATTTGGCTTGGAGTGCAAAGAGAAATATAGAAAAATACCTCTGTAGCAACAATTCTCTGATGTAGGTTGGGCTGAGGGAAGATAATTGTCAAAAGTTTTGCTGTGCTCAGAATGACTTTTTGGTTATTTGTGTGGTATTTGCTCATCCTTCTGTTCTGGTGATACTTCTAATTATATTGTACATTGGATAATACTGTGAATGCTCACTTCTTTATTTTCTTGGCTACTTCTGGTATCTCAGTAAGGTATTCAGTGACAAGGTGCATGCTACAAAGAGCAAGGTGTAATGAGCTGCAGAATTAGAGTTGGAAACTGCAGAATCCTTGTTAAAGAAGTCTAGCTTTCCAAAGCAACTGAATATTCTCTAGTATTTAAAAAAATGAAAATATTATTTTTAAAAACCATCTCACACAGTTGGGCAAGCTTAATTGTGATGATGGGTGCCATGTAGGAAGCAAACTTTATGGAAGGGGACTTTGCTGTAAAAGAGCTGACAGAGTGATTGCAGAGTAATCTGCATTATTCTTTCTGTCTTTTTTTGTACTGTATGGTGGAGCAGTGCTCCATTGTTTGCCCAGTCACTATGAAGAAAGAAAGATTTTCTTTCATGCATAAATTATACTGGTTGGTTTTAGAAAAAAAATGTTTGGCATTTTGTAATCTTAACATTTAATAAGCTGGAGATGATGATGATGATGATGAAGAAGAAGAAGAAGAAGATGATGATGATGATGATGATGGAAGAGATAATGTGTAATTTTAGAAATATGGTTTGGATCCAGAAGGGAATGAGGTATGGCATGGAATGAACTGAGGTATGGCATGGAGATGCAGATGGAAGGAAAAGAGGAGATATATGGCTACATAAACGTCCATCTTTGGATTTAAAATTTCCCCTCAAAGGCCCTTTTACATTTTTGCCCAACAGGTGTTTAAAAAAAGGGTAGGAATTGGCTTTGGAAGAGAAGAATCTCTTTAAATCTTCTCCTATCCTTTCAGATCTTTGGATGACCTTGTTTTGTATTCAGGAATGAACTTACAAGCTATGTTAATTAAAAGAACATAATCTGTGATGGCATCAAGGCTTAAATCCAAGGTAAAAGCTCCACAAAGGTTTCAAGGCCAAAACAGCCCAGAGACTTCCTCACATAATTCCTCAAAGACAACACGCATGGACCAATAGCGAAAACTATTGTGAGCACTCTACTTTAGGTTGCAATTCTTTACATGTTGAGCATTAGGAAATCTGTCTTCACTTGAGCAGTATTGCTTTTGAGGCGTAGTTACAACACATGTCACTCAAATTACTTTATGGAGTTCAATTCAAAGAAACTGACACAGACAGAGGGGAATTCCTGATTTAGTTTAGTTGCTGTTTTAGGTCTGTCCTTATGTAAGGGAAAATTGAATGAATGAGTAAGAATACTATTTCTTCTTGCTTCTTTCACCTACTTGGAAGTTTTCAAGGAGTTTCAACTTGTTTGTTTTGCTTCTTGGTTTGAAATACAATTGAAAGTTCCCTGTGCAAATTCGGTGCCATGTCTTAAATATATAGCTGAAATAAATCCCTGTGTTTAATGGATCAAATTCTTATTTAGGCATTGAAATTATTTCCTATTTATTTATATTCTATATATTTATATAATGTTGTAAAACACTCAGAGTCGCTTTGAAACAAGATGGGCAGCAAATAAATTTAATAAATATTCCAATGCCTAGGCTTTCTATGTCTAATGCCCATTTTCCCCCAATTGGGCTACTACTGTCCCTGATTCAGACCTTGATATGCAAAATTGTTCTTTAAAGCAAAAAAAAATGAATGTTTCTTCTTAGAGGAAAAGTATCAGTACTGGCAGTGTTTTCTTGGCTTTTGTAAAAGAGTTCAGACAACCTACTGGCAAAAGGCAATTCCATTTATTATTGAAGAGAATTTCAATGCAGTTGTTTGGAGGTTGCGAAGCTCGCAGACAGAGCTGGATGAAATGGGAAGAGGGGGGGCACACGTTATGTTCCAGATGACTGAGCAACGATTTATACATCAGCTTGCCTTTTTACATGAAGAAGAAAAGTAATAACAGCACAGACCCAGGCATCTGAAGCAGTCAGATATCTGATGACTAATGGGATAGATGGGAAAGAGCTCTCTGATTGGATGTCTTAATGAGCACATTTTGCACAGAGTTTGGGTGGCAGTTCCCCTTGACCTTTGCCCTTTATTGACTGAACTGACACTTCATTTTTCACATACTTCCAATTATGGCACAGCTTAAGTGTTCCCTCACTCTTTTAGTTTGTTCCTATATGGACAACTTGAGAGTGGTTGTAATATTTTCATTTGAGCAATGCTATTGCAGTTCACTATTTAATATGTAATCTGAAACTGCCATCATTCTGTAATTTTCACTAAAGATTTTTTTTATTTTTAAGGTAACATTTTAAAGTTAAGATTTAAATATATATATAAAACTTGCATTTAAAGTCCTTCCGTGTTGCTCTCCTACTCTGTAAATTCAATAGTTTGAATGATATGTATTTGTTCCCACACATCTGTTTCTCAAGAGACTCCTGTAATGTGATGCCCTAAAATGCATTTTGACTTCCTACTCTTCAAAGAAAGCAAAACATAATTGTGGCTACAGATGTCAAGTCCTTAGACATGATAACATGATTGTTATTCACGTAATTATATAAATGCAAATTAAAAGTATAGGTCTTTAG